GACGCCGCATGACGTTCCAGTTGTTCGCGAGTTTGTGGATGTGTTCCCAGATCAGCTACCAGGAGGACCACCCAGCAGGCAGGTGGAGTTCACCATCGATCTTATTCCAGGAGCAGGACCAGTGTCTAAGGCACCATACCGTATGGCTCCGAAGGAGTTGCAGGAGCTGAAGACGCAGATCGAGGAGTTGTTGAAACTCGGTTTTATCTAACCGAGCGTCTCACTTTGGGGAGCACCCGTCTTATTCGTCAAGAAGAAAGACGGATCCATGAGAATGTGCATCGATTACCGGGATCTCAACCAGTTAACGATGAAGAATAAGTATCTGCTCCCCAGGATAGACGACTTGTTTGATCAGCTGAGAGGAGCTTGCGTATTTTCCAAGATTGATTTGCGCTCAGGCTATCATCAGCTGAAGATTAAGGAGTCCGATGTAGCCAAGGCTGCTTTCCGGACGAGATATGGGCACTACGAGTTTGTGGTTATGCCGTTTGGTCTGACCAATGCGCCAGCGGTGTTCATGGACTTGATGAATCGGGTGTTCCATCAGTATTTAGACCGATTTGTTATCGTCTTTATTGATGACATTTTGGTCTACTCCAAGAGTTTGGAGGAGCATGAAGCATCTGAGGGTTGTTCTCGGGACCCTTAGGCGAGAAAAGTTGTACGCCAAGTTCTCCAAATGTGAATTTTGGCTGAAGCGAGTGGCATTTGTAGGCCACATCATCACCGAGAGAGGCATTGAGGTTGATCCGGCGAAGATTGCCGCCGTTCGGAATTGGTCAGCACCCAGAAGTCCCACCGAGGTCCGCAGTTTTCTCGATTTAGCAGGGTGCTATCGCAGATTTATCGAGGGATTTTCGAAGATTGCCCTTCCCTTGTCCAAGTTGACGAGGAAATCTGTGAAGTTTGAGTGGGCGAGTCGTTGTGAGGAGAGCTTTCAGGAGCTCAAGAAGAGGCTTACGACGGCTCCAGTGCTGACTATTCCGGATCCTACTCGAGGTTTCACCATTTATAGTGATGCCTCGAAGCAAGGTCTTGGGTGTGTGCTGATGCAAGATGGCCAAGTCGTTGCGTACACTTCACGTCAGTTGATTCCACATGAGCAGAATTACCCTACGCATGACCTAGAATTGGCAGCGATTGTGCATGCACTCAAGATTTGGCGCCATTATGTGTATGGTGGTCGGTGTGAGATCTTTACCGATCACAAAAGTTTGCAGTATATCTTCACACAGAAGGAGCTCAACATGCACCAGAGGCGATGGTTGGAGCTTGCACCATACAGTACCATCCGGGGAAGGCGAACGTGGTAGTAGACGCCCTAAGCTGAAAGGTGAGGGGTGAGTCAGTCTGTTCTATCACCGATCAGCGCCAGCTTATCCGAGAGTTTGCCCGGATGCAGATTGAGGTCGTCGACTCAAATCCTAAGGAGATTTCGGGGACTTTTAGCTCGATGCGAGTCCAGCCCATGCTGAGAGATAGAATCCGGTGGGAACAATCCTGCGATCAGTTCCTTCTTACTTTAGAAGCGAAGGTTCGCGCCGGAGGCATAGAGGGTTTTTACCGAGGCACAGATGGAGCCTTGGAGTTCAGGGGCCGCATTGTCGTGCCAAAAGTCGGGACTTTACGCAAGGAAATCCTGACTGAGGCCCATAGTGCGCCGTATCTAGCCCACCCTGGGAGTACCAAGATGTACCACGACCTGAAAAGGTCGTTCTGGTGGCGAGGAATGAAGAGAGATGTAGCAGACTTCGTGAAGAAGTGTTTGGTCTGTCAGCAAGTTAAGGCCGAGCACAAAAGTCCCATAGGTCTGCTACAGCCACTTGAGATTCCCAGCTGAAAGTGGGAAGAGGTTACCATGGACTTCGTCACGGGACTACCTAACTCGTCCGATCATCACGACGCGATTTGGGTAGTGGTAGACAGGCTGACGAAAGTCGCACATTTTATGCCTGTGACGATGACCATGTCGATGGATCAATTTGCCGAGATATATACCCGTGGTGTTATCCGACTCCATGGAGTGCCCATTACGATCATATCTGATCGAGATCCCAGATTCACCAGCCGATTCTAAGAGAGTTTGCATGAGGCAATGGGCACCCAACTAAAGTTCAGTTCGGCTTACAATCCAGAGACGGACGACCAGTCCGAGAAGACGATCCAGACGCTCGAGGATATGCTCCGAGCCTTGATTCTGGACAGAGGTGCTAAGTGGGAGAAGTGGCTGCCCCTAGTTGAGTTCGCCTATAACAACAGTTATCAGGCGTCTATTCAGATGGCTCCCTACGAAGCACTTTACGGCCGCAAGTGTCGTTCGCCCCTTTATTGGGATGACGTCGGAGAGCGACGAGTGCTCGGTCCGAAGTTGATCGAGGAGACAGTTGAGCAGGTAGCCTGGATCAGAGAGAGGCTCAAGACAGCCCAGAGTCGGCAAAAGTCCTCAGCCGACCAACATAGACGAGAGATGCATTTTGAGCCCGGAGATCATGTATTCCTGAAGGTTCGACCTATGAGAGGTGTCGTTCGCTTAGGGAAGAGAGGGAAGTTGCATCCTCGCTATATAGGCCCGTTCGAGATTCTAGAGTGAGTGGGCGAAGTCGCCTATCGAGTAGCCCTGCCTCCCGAGTTGGCTAGCGTGCATAACGTGTTCCACGTTTCGATGTTATGCCCATATGTGTGCGATCCCGAGCATGTCAGCACAGTGAGATTCAGCTTCAGCCAGATTTGACTTACGAGGAGCAGCCAGTAGCAGTTCTGAACCGAAAGGTTCTTCGGCTCAGGAACCGAGATGTTCCCCTCGTTCGTATCAGATGGAATCGCCACGGAGATTCAGATGCCACTTGGGAGCGCGAGGCAGACATCAGAGCTCGTTTCCTAGATATTCAGTTCTGATTTGTATCTAGTTGTATGTTTTTCCCCAGGTTTACTATTTCCGAGGGCGGAAATATTTTAAGGGGGATAGATTGTAATAGCCCAGTTCTGTATTAATAAAATTGACAGTTTTTAGTTCCAAGTTGAACTATTTCTTTTTATTAATACTGCTCGTCTGGAGTTCCGAGCCCAGTTATCAGCTATTCAATCTCAGTTATTAATTCCGGTCCATTTTTTTTTTCAGGAATGAATTTTATTCAGTCGGAATTAATTATTCTAGTTGACGAATAATCGAAACCGAGTATGTTTCGATAAATCGTCCAAGTCTAGCCGTGTCCGGAACCGAGTCGTTCGGTCGCGAGTATAGCGCCTAGCCAATTCTCGAGCCCTAGTAGTCTTGAGTCTTGTTCGAGCCCTAGCCGTGCTCATAGCCTTGTTTAGAATATTTTCTAAGTATGAGATCATTCTATCGAGCCTCAGTCAAGTCACTCGGTCGAGAGGAACCACGCACCGAGCTCGTGCCATGGTTCGAGTCCCCGCGCGCCTCACCGAGTGCAAGTGCCCAAATCTTGGTTAGTGATGATGGCATATTTTTCTAAATGTTTTGGTTCCCTAGATGAACCACAAGTTCAGCCCTAACCAAGAGTTACCCTCGGCCAAGCTTTGCCGAGCCCCAGCAAGTCGCGCCCTAGTGCCCGCACCTTAGCCCTCGCGCGAGTCAAGCATGGCCCAAGTCATGGCCAAACACTTATGGAATTTTTCTAAGTGTGGAGAGCTTTATTTCAGCCCTTAAGCTCGGCCCAAGATCATCTCGCGCGCAGCAATCAGCCCAGCTCATCGCCCCGGGCCAGCCCAGCAATGTCGCGCCCGTGTCCCTCGCGCCAGGCCAAGCGGCAGCATGGTAGCCCATCTTCTCGAACCCAATGTGGAGTTTTTCGGCCCATTTCTGCAGGGCCCAACTTCATGCGTGTATTAAGGGGTTGATTAGGGATTAATTCAGCTTAATTATCCCTAAGTAAAGATTAAAGGAGTCACATGGCCATTAAGGAATATTATAAGATGAGTGGGATATTTTTATATTGTTGGGATGTTGGACTTGTCCCCCATTATCTCTTGCATGGATCAAAGCCTGACCCAAGGCATATTTTAACCCAAGATGCTCTGCAATATTCTCCCAAAGCTCGTGCAAGTCAGCCAAAGGAATCCGTGCACCAAGACTCCACCATGCCCCATGCGTGAGTGTGTGGACCTTGTTCCCCACTTAGTGGCTTTGGTTGCTCCGTCCCCTCTCCATAAAAGGGACACTCCTCAGCATTTATGTGACTCTTGGACACATTAACACTTAGACATATTGAGGGAGAAGTAAGAAAACCGAGAGCTAAGTCCAAAAGCCAAGCCGCGCGCGTGTGACCCCGAGGTGGTGAAGAGCCGCGAGTTCAGCTTGTCCCAGCCATACCTCTCGAGGCTTAGCATTTTCCAAAGGTTATTTGGATTTTTCTAAGTGTCCAGAGTGTATTCCTTCAGCCATTTAAGCCCCTCAACTGAGAGCAAGGACAAGCCGCGAGTGTCCCGAGTAGACCCGAGCTAAGGCCATCTTCGCCATTCTTGAGTTCGAGCAAGGTTAGCTCATGACTTTTATTTTTTCCTAGCTTATTCATGATAAAATAAGAATTATCATGTGGGCAAATGATGCCATGCATGTTCATATGAGGGAGTTCCGAATTTTTGAACATATGAGCCCTAATTTCGTAAGTTTATGTACATGCATGACATGGCCGAGTTTGATGGCTTAAAAATCCTCAAAAGTCATGAGTATGACATGGTTAAAAGATTAATATGCTTTGAGTTCATATGTTTGGTCAATTTTTTAAGTGAAATCGAGCCATTTTCACCTCCAAACCCAAGTCTATATGCATGCATGTTATAGCTAATGTCCTAGCTTCAATAGAATTGAATTTTGATGTATATCATTCGGCCCTAAGTCATTATTTATAGTGAGAATACTATATGTGCTTACCTGCCATCATACTTATGATAAGTCTGCTAGCTACCTTGATGGATCTGACTCCAAGTACTTCTGCAGCTAACAAATAAATAGCCTGAAATGAATATCATAAGTATTGCTACTGTGGGAATTCTTCCTTCATCCGTTTTGAAGCCTACAAATAAGGTCCCACAAATGCAGGGAAAAAGGCATATCAGTGTTGCATCCAAATATGTACTATCAGAATAGGTCATCATGTAAGACAGAAAACTTACAGCAAGATCATTCTTGAAGGGGTTTTCATCTATCATCCTCCTATTAGAGTACATCATTTTTCCATCCTGAGCACATCATTATCAAAACACATAATATCAGCACCAGAATCACACACAAACAATTTTTTTTTGCTCCTACAGTACAAATGGGGCTACTCACAAGAGATGCCCCTAACATTTAGTCTAATTATTAAAAGAAAACACATTTTGATAATTTCTGCACCACAAACTACACATCCTTAATTGTGAGAATATGTTGAAAAGAGGCGAACCTCGAGCAGGTGTTTGCAGTACCTTATGAGAGACCTGTTTTGTTTTTTTTTTTTTCCAGAAAAAGAAAGAAAAAAAGTCTCATAACCTCAAGAGCAACTTTTGCATCTATTCCAAGTCTAACCTTTACAATCTGTCTGGACATCCCCCTTTCTCCTGAACCGTAATACTCATTTCCTTTCTCAGTCACTTTGCAAAAGTCGTTTTCCGTGATTTATCAACCCCGCGAGAATCCTCGTCTCTGCCATGGAAGAGCGCCGCTCCTGGTCCTGGAAGAAGCCTCGCCGGTTGCCGGACGTGCTCAGAAACATGCTCAGCCGCGGGCTGCTTGCTCTCGCTGCTTCAGCCGCGAGGTTCTGATTCGCCCGTTCGCCGGAACCTGGTGCTCTCGGTTTGGTGCCCTCAGGCAATCTCGGTCTGGCCGGTTAAACGTCGGCCAGAAAAAAAAAATATAAATAAACTTGGAAAAGGAAGAGAGAAGGAGGATAAGGCGTGATTTATGGGGGTAAGGGGGGACCCACTAACAGCAACCCCATCTGTTAGTTTACAGCCCTTAGATCAATTCTAATTAAACAAAATTTAAGGGCTTAAAATAAAGAACACATGCATTTATTAAACAAAATCTAATTCCACAGATTTGAGAAAGCAGAAACTCACCAAAATTAGAAACCATTTTTCATCACAAACAGAGCATAAGCAAATCATAAAACCTGCAACATTTTTAACGAATGAATCTCATTGATATCAAGACATCAAGAAGCTTAAACTATAAACCCAGGCAACCAAACTCCAAAAGTTACCTAAATAAACCAAAATTTCACAATAAAGCAAAGCTAAAACCGCCATGGCCACACTGCATTTACTACCCTCACAGCTCCACATTTCAAAAAATTCAATGAGCCCAAAACTCCTAAATCTTCAATTAAACCAAACTATTCCTTCTCTCGCATTTCTGATTCACACAAAAATGGTTGTCTCATCCACTTTCCTCAACCAAGACAACGGCTTTTCCCAAATCGGCGGGTCCGCCGCCTTCAGCCACCACATCGTCTCCCTCACCTCCACCACCTACGGCCTCCTGACCCTCGACCCGTCGCCAGATTGCATACATTGAAACTGCACTTCAAAATAACAGAATCGTGATAAAGTCCAAACTCGTTAGCCTCCATTAATGATTGTTCGCGGGAAAATTACAGAGCTTCAAATTGGATTTAGCAATCAAAAAAGCTTAAGAAATCGCAGCTTGTGATTCTGCTTTTTTTGGTGGGGAAGACTTGTGATTGTGAGGGTATGTGTTCCTTATTTTAAGCCCTTAGATTTTGTTTAATTAAAATTGATCTAAGGGCTGTAAACTAACAGCTGGGGCTACTGTTAGTGGGTCACAGCAGCCCCCTTAACCGGATTTATGGAGGGTGAATACTGACAGTATCAGTGAATACTTCTTTATAGACTCTCTACATGTTTACCTCTACGGAAAATATGGAATGATTTTGTTAGGATATTAAACAACTGATTTTGAGATTTTTTTTTTAATGCGTAACAATATTGTACACGCGTGAATTATGCAGAAAAAATCTGTTCTGAAGATAACAGACAGATAAATGTGAGCGCGTGAATGAGTTTTGGGATGTTTAAAATGTATTTTTAAAATGGTTACCATATTCAGTAAGTCAGAAGGGTTGACTGCGAATTTTTTAAAATTTTCCTCATTTGATTTATCTGTCTCTCTTTTTCAATATATATAGAGTTCTATCGCATTTCAATGGTACGGATACTGCACACAAAATAAAGATGGATATTATATTTAGATGTATTAGTGAAATATTTAAATAAGTGCAATCATTCTTCCAGTGTTATCAAATTTCACACTCTAATTTCTTTTGTATTCAAAATTTATTCTTTTAAAAATAATATTAACTTAAAATATGTTAGCATTCTCCTGTAATTTTCCTATAATTACTTCATCATGTAGCCATAATCAGACATAATTTTGTTTCAACCTCTTAATATTAACTTACACACAATAAAAGCCCCCAAAAAATATAGAAACAAAAAAAAAAATATATAGTTTTTTGCGAACAAATAAACATATTTTTAACTGAATATACACATAATAATAATAATAATAATAATAATAATAATAATAATAAATCATTTTGTTTTGATGTTTAGGATTATTTAATATGATAGATCATAATGTTTTTCAACCCGGACCGGCCCGGTGGGTCAACCCCATACCCGGTCGACCCGGAGCTAGAACCAATCCGGGTGGGTATTCGGACCGGGCAACAAAGACATGGTCAAAACCCGGCCAACCTGGTCTTGACCCGATCGACCCGGCCCCTATATATATTTTTTTTATTTTTTAAAAAATAAAATTATGTATATATATTTATATGGAAGATATTTATCATGAAATACATATTATTAACACTTTAATGTCCAAAATTTATATACAAAATATTTAATTTTGTTATTTTTATGTATATTTATATGACAAATTAGTCTATTTATAATTAAAAAAGAAGTAAAATTAATTATCCTCAGCAATTGACACGGTGACTCAGCGGTTGAACCGGTGACCAGGAGACCTGTCCGATTCTCGGGCAGGGTTTAAAAACTATGGATCACACATATAATTAATGAAGCAATTCAATCCGATTGGAAGCATATCCGATTGTAATGTAGAAATTAAATCGAATATGTTGTGCAGTCTTCCATTTACTTTTTATTAACAGAACAATTAATATCCGATATGTTTAAAAAAGAAAAATAAGCTAAATAACCTTGGATCAATTTAGTTGAAGTCGAAGGAATATTTATATTTGACCCATATCCCCACGTTTTTTAG